TTGGGTGCCCGATGCCAAGGCCTCTTGTGATCCTTTGCATGGAAAGATTTCCCGCCTGAACCCCATGTGTCCTGTGCAACAAGCACCCAGAAAAAGTGAGGGGAAGATGTGCTGTGGCACCAGGCTTGGGCAGGGTGGTGGTCAGCCACTTTGGGTGGGCTGCGGTACTGACCCCCCAATGCCAAGCCAGACTTGTAAGGGGAAGGCAGGCAGCCTTGTGGTCCTTTGCACAGAAAGAGTTCCTGCCCCAATGCCAACCACCCTGTGCAAGCTTTGCAGGGGAAGTGGGCAGCACTGCTTATTGAACTCAAAACTCTCCAAAAAATCAAAGCAAAGTCACCAACAATCAATACCCCCCTAAGAAAATAAACCAACCAAAAAATCAAACGGTATCTTAAAACTCCCCCTGGCCTAAATTAAAACTGAGGGGAGGAGGGTAAAATTATTATAATGTGCCCCTTAGCATCTTTTAATAGTTATAGCATATTACGCCATAATGTGCTAAATTATGTCCACATTAGGTACATTACGACAGGAAAAATCAACCAGGAAAATCTTTAGTGGGAAAAAGCCGATTACATGGACAAGCACCCAGTGATTTCAAGACAAAACATAGGGAACAGAGGAATAGGTGGGGAGGGGGTAGGGAAGGCCCAGGGTCAGAGAGGACCTAGTCAGGGAAATTCTGGTGGAACTGGATGTGTTCAAATCAGCAGGCCCTGATGATCTCCACCCCAGTGTGCTAAGCAAATTAGCAGAGGTCATTGCAGGACCCCTGGCACAGATTTACGAGCACTCGTGGTGCTCTAGCAAGGTGCCAGAGGACTGGAAAAGGGCCAATGTGGTCCCCATTTTCAAAAAAGGGAGGAAGGAGGACCCAGAAAATTATAGGCCAGTTAGTCTTACCTCGGTTCTGGGAAAGCTCTTTGAGAAAATTATCCAGGTGCACAGCTGTGAGGGGCAAGCAGGGGAGTGTATGCTTAGGGGCAACCTGTGGCGGGCCAGTAGGGGGCACTCCTGCGTTAAGCCACCCACCTCCCTGCACCCAACCACCTTCCAGGCTCTGAGTGCCTCCCTAGGGGTGCCTTGCGTCCAGCTGACTCCCTTCCTGGAGCACACTCGCTAGCCTGGGGGTAACGTAAGCTGCCACCACCCCGAGAAGGGACTGTCTCTGTCCTGTGTCCTCGGGGAAACACAGGCCTACTAGTCCTATGGGTACTCGACCTAGTACAGGCACTTCCCTAAGTCAAGGGTCAAAAAGGAAAGTCTCCCTTAGTCCGCACACCTAAGGGGTCTCTTAGGCATAATTTAGACCCACCCCTCAATAAGTCTCCCACACCGGTCACAAAGGAGAACTTTATTGATTACAGGGGTAGGGTGAAAATAGGGCACAAGATAGAGCAATATCATAGAAGTCCGATAGAGCAAAACAGTTTGGCTGAGGTAGCCTTTTGATCACGCATCTGAGTTACTGCCAGCTAGATATCTAACCAGATCTCGAGTAGCTTACTCACAAGCATTATCCAGAGGCTGGTGAAGATCCCCTCTGGAGGCAGGCCATTTCTAGTTCGTGAGTTTTGGGGGAGAGAGCCAGTTTCAGATGGTAAAGCTCCTCTCTAAGTCTGAGTTTCCTGCATGGCTGCTGCCCCCTCCTCCTGGGCAGTCTTAACTTATATAGCCCCTGTGACCTCATTCACCTGGTCCAGTGAAGGCCAGCTCCGGTTGGCTGTCAGCCAACCAATTTGAAATACATCGCTAGTTGCCAGGCAGACTCTAGCCCACCAGGTAGAAGCCCCTCACCCAGGTAGCTGATACCAGTCATGTTTCCCCCCTCCCTCAAGAATGTATCCAGCTCAGGTTACCTAAAGAGATAGGGTGAGGGTGTGTCTCCTCTGCTGGGCCCATCCTAATCACATTGTCACAGCACAGAGATTTTGGGGAGAAACAAAAGGTGGCTTCCTGCCACACAACCAACATGGGTTCATTAGAGGCAGGTCCTGTCAGACCAACCTGGTGGCCTTCTATGACCAGGTCACAAAATTGTTGGCTGCAGGTGTCGTGGTGGACGTAGTCTTTTTGGACTTTAGGAAGGCCTTCGACAGTGTCTCTCACCCCATTCTCACTACAAAATTAGGAGATTGTGGTGTCGATGCCTACAGTCAGATGGGTCGCCAATTAGCTGGAGGGCCGCACCCAGAGAGTGGTGGTGGACGGGTCATTTTCAACCTGGAGGGATATGGGCAGGGGGATCCCCCAGGGCTCAGTCCTCGGGCCCACACTGTTCAACATCTTCATCAGTGACTTGGACCAGGGGGTAAAAAGCACCTTGTTCAAATTCGCAGATAACACTAAGATGTGGGGGGAAGTGGGCACACTAGAAGGGAGGGACAGGCTGCAATTGGATCTGGATAGGTTACGGGGTGAGTGGACGAGAATAAGATGGAATTTAATACTGACAAGTAGAGGGTACTGCACCTATGCAGAAAGAACCAGCAACATACCTACAGGTTGGGGAACTCCCTTCTCATCAGCATAGAGGCAGAAAAGGATCCTGGAGTCATTATAGACTCCAAGATGAACATGGGCCGCTAATGTGGGGACAGAGTCAGGAAAGCCAACCGCACCTTGTCATCCATCTACAGATGCATCTCGAGCAGGTCCAAGGAGGTGATCCTCCACCTCTATATGACATTGGTCAGGCCCAGTTGGACTACTGCATCCAGTTCTGGGTGCCGCACTTCAGGAGGGATGTGGCCAGCATCGACAGGGTCCAGAGGAGGCCACTCGCATGATCAGGGGGCAGCAGGGCAGGCCCTACGAGGACAGGCTGAACCTGTTCAGCCTCCACAAGAGAAGGCTGAGAGGG